TAGCGCTCTAAATCTTCACGCATACGACGATCTCTGTACTCCTTACGTTTCTCGTCCATACGTTTGTCTATGGAATCGTAAATTTGATCAGCCTCTTCATCATCTTTGTCGTATGGATCTTTGGAGAAAAGTGAGCCACTGTAGCCGCTAAATTCATCGTAGTTAGAGTCGTTCAAATCCTCATCTTCCTCCTCCACTTCTTTTTTCTTCCGTTTTGCAGCGGGTGGTGCATGGCGATCATCAGACACATCGTTGGCATCGCGGGCATGACCGATATCGGAACGCGTAGTGAAACCGGTGGCGCTATAAACCATTTTTTATTTATTGAGTTTCAACAACTCTATGTATTACTGGAGAAAATATACTTGCCCCCTACCAACACCAGCAACATAACCAAGTGGCGCGGGTACGCCCAGAAAATGCTTTTTGTTCCGATTTGCGATAACTGCTGCAGTTATATTTGCCATTTTACCTCGGTTTGATTTAGTTTAAATTTTAAACTTTTAAAGGATAGGGGTGTTAGTTTAAAAGAACTTTTATCAATTACAGTTTATTTTCTTCACCACTAAATTAGTAAACGTCTGCTTATATTTTTCATTCCCGGATTTGTCATTATCAGCTGTTTTCTCACGTTGTAAACACCTACCGGTAAAAATATGCAATAAAGAACGTTGAGCCCTCTAGGGGGGAGACTTTCTAACGAGGCGTTTTTAAATAAAGTCATTATGCAATGCTATGGCAACCAAGTTTCCGCCGCCATTTCAACCGTTGTGCTTGTTTTTTATTACCGCGAGTAAGAAAATTGTGAAAAATACTAATTTCTTCTGAAATATTGCACCAAATTTAGTGTTTTGTGCGAAATATTGCAGATGTGAGTGTTTGCTATAAGGAAAAAGTGAAATATTAGTAAAAGTGTTGAATTAAAGTGCAAATTTCGCAAGTGGTATCAAGTGACGCTGGCCGATGCAGGCAAATTTTGCCAACTTTAGAAATCATGGCGAAGTTGCACGGGTGAGTATTTTTATACAATTTAATATAATTCTAAGAAGACTGTGACTTTTTAACAGAAATAATTGCCATGGAAAAGGATTCGATTTGTTTAACAAAATTTTTCTGTACAAGCGGTGGCAACAACAGGTGCGATGGCTGCGCTTTTTACGCCTGTACTTATGTTTTTATATTTTGAGTTGACTCATTTGTACGTAGGTATACATATATGCCAGAGCTGTAAAATGATTGAATCAACATAGTCTGCATTCACTCGGCA